TTTTTTTGGAAACAGGAGGATGAGCTGCTGCCGTTATTTCGAGCAGGTGGTCGAATTAAACGAAACGAGAAGTGACATTAAATCTAAATCCACGGAAGCGCATGTGACAATGAGTTCGTATTAGCTTCCCTTTTACCATATAACCCAACTAGAATCGGTTTTAACCGAGGGATTAGGACAGCAAAAACTTCCGCTTACCCAGTCGAATGTATTTGCCAGGAGAGTAGATCAAGCATCATTATCCTGCACAAGCACTGTGGCAGTCTTTTCAAAAGCGGCTTCTCGAAATGTCTGTATTTTCCCAGATTCATTGAAAACATCTCCGAACTCACGATACCACTCCGGCGCACAACTTAGCTGTTTCCGTGGATAACTTGTGTACATGGAGAAATTCATCGGACACTTCTCGTGCACCAAAGTGGAGACAAATAACACCTGTCAAATTGACATATTTAATAGATAATAGGATAATGAAGAGTTCCCACCGGAAGTGTAAAACAGCCTGGACAATTTCTATCAGGTAATAAGATTATTTCAATAACAGAAAAAAATTAAAACAAACCTCCAAACTCTCATCAAGACTAAATTTCCGTTCGAAACGAGCACCACAAGGGAAACGTACGTTGACCCGCACGCTGTCGGAGTCTTCACTTTCTGTTGGAATTTCTTTCTTCAACCTCTCTTTGATTTCAGCAAATCTCTGAAATTTCCTTCGACTAGAGAGTAATACAAGTTTTTCAAAATATTTGTTATCAACAATAACCTCGAGTTTCCTCTCTAAAAGTCTTTTCTCTTCTTCTGCTTTCTCAATAGCTTGCTTTCTGGCTAATTCCTCTTTTCTTTTTTCGTCCATTTTAGCTCTATCTGCAGCAAGGCCACGTTGGTAATCAGCTTCTTGTTCACGACGAATACGACTGTCCGCTTCACGTTGCTGACTGAAAAAAAAAGATGACAAGATCACTTCGAAACAGTATCAGCATCTAAATTTCTTTTGAATCCACAAATTACTGTCCTATGTAAAGTGCACCTCATAAGATCTCACAGTTCATTTAATTTACAGCGATTTAAGCTCGGATTTGGAGCAGTGAAGTTAGAGCATTATAATTAGAGTCGAAACGGATTCTAACGAATAGGTAATTTTTCAAGAATTGTAACGGAACAAGTGAACCAGTTTAAATAATACCGCTCTTGACGAATTGCATTAAGGTGTATTTGGTTTTCATCAATCGCAGTTTGAATATAGAGGACCATAGACTCTAAATCGTACTCTCCTTCAATCCTGAGTACCTGTAAACCAAGCGCAAATAAGTGACAGAGGAAACGTGTAAAAAGCACACAGCACCTAATAGCAGTAATCAAAATAAGAGTTTGAATGAACCAAATTACTGATAATTCTCTAAAAAAAATTTAAAAAGTGCAAAGAAATTCTTACTAGACATCCAGACAAGTCTCAAGACCAAATAAGAAAGGTTAAAAACAGAACCTACCATAACCATACGATTATCGCGCATGCAGATTAACCCCAGGAATGGGTAAGTATTTTCCCTTAACGCCATTGATACTGTAATAGAAGAGGTAATAATAAAAATGTTGTTTTTGAAAACAAAACATCCCGAAAAAGTTACTACCGCAGCTAGATTTCTGTCACGGCTTAATTCATTCCGAGTATAACTGTGAAAGAGGACAAAATGTGACTTGTGAGCGTAAAGGCTTCTGGTTAGGTAAGATTCTGCATAGATACCTTTATATCCCTCCTGAGTACGTACAGATGCCCCCCAAAGAACTATGTTGTTTTGATCTATCAACTCCTTCATTTGGCGAGTGAGCAACTTTTCGCGTACAAACCGGTCACACGCTTCGTGCGAAGGGTTATGAAGATACACTAGCATGAAACGAAGGTTCCTCTTACACTCGTTCAATGCCTTAAAGAACTAGGTATTAGTGCTAGGAAAGTCTTCAAAAACTAAATTTTTATACTAGAGTAGACAAAGCATCTGGCAAGAAAATAAAACACTCAGACAAAAAAGTGCGTAAAAGACTTCCGTCTGAACTTTTTACAATCCACGACCTAGCTCATATTCAATGAGTTCTATCCAACAAATTCTACAGAGCGGAGAAATAAACGAAGACTGTTATTTCGAATCCTATGCCAGTTTGCAACCATGTGGTCTCACTAAGTTATGCAGATTTCTGTGCAGGAGAAACAGATCCAATTTTTTTATTGTAACCTCTTGGTTAGAGGATGAGCGACCAAAGAATCCCGTTCCTTTCTGCCATTTACGCTTCAGGGAATGAAAACTTAAACTTTTGTTTACGTCACTTCCTCATTTATGAAGCCCTTCAAAAAAAAGCTATTCTTTGTTAAAATAGAGGTAGCACAAAGCTCTAATCTTTTAATGTTTCTTTACTTTCAGCCCTCATAATGATTTGTTCTCCACTTACGACAAGAAACCTCGAAATGTATTCATAGTGAACCCGATACTGGAAGAGATTCTACTCACCTTTTTTGGAATCAACTATGCTTCAATCTAACAATCAAGAACCTCATCATAAAGTTCACCAAGTAGTTACACTAAACTTCTTAGGAAGACATCGTATTACCGTTTGGGTTTCATCTTAAACTACTTTAGCGAATAACTAGCTGTAAAGAGTAGAAGCAGATGCCACACAAGTAAACTATAAGTGCTTCCTGATTTGGAAATGCAAAAGTTTTAGTTATTCAGGATAAGGTTAAATGGTTCAAAAAACCGGAATGCAACAAAATAAAGAAGAAAACTGCCTGCTCCGTCGCAAAAATACTGCAATTCTCTTTCAAAACCACGCCCAAATAAAAAGTGGGAAAGGAAATAAGTTGACATAAAAAATTAAACTTTTGCTCACATCACTATAAGAAGAATTCATCCAGCAAATTTTATCTCTTGCGTCAGCGAAACGTTGATTAAAGTCTTCAATGAATCCTTCAATATCACCGCGGGGGTCTGCTATTGCTAACGGACGGCCACGAAATAAAGTCCCTTAAAACTGCACATACCAAGGAAGCTGAATTAAAATCAACAAAATGCTGAAGTTTTTACAAACAAGAACAACTATCCAAAGACAACTAGAATTGACGTAAAAAATTCTTCAGCGAAAAAGCAAAAAAACAAAAAAATAAAAAATGGAAGAGAAAAATAAAAAAAACTAGCAAACGAAAAAGAGCTCCTTAATTCACATCTAGTACACAAATATTTTCAATTAAAGGAAGTTTAAAGTAATGCTATAATATATACTAAAAAGCAAAAAAAAAGACAGTTCTATTATAACCCTCATAACACACGTAGACTTACAAGAAAACTGAAGTAGCTCCAAAAAGCAATGGTAAGCAAAGTCGAAGGGCAATTTAAGTAAATTAATGGTCCATTGCAACCAAGTCAAAGGTGGTTGAGACACCCTCTGACGAGGAATAAATGCTGAAGCGGATTCATTATGCACCCTGGTACTAAAAACGTAAATTTTAAGTGGGTCGAAAAGGACGAAAGTGGTGATAAAAATCAATATTCATTAGAGAAAATACAGAAATTTGTAAAAGAACCTAGAAGTAGATGGTCCATTAGCAACTACGTGACGATGACGTAACTCTTGCTCTATGTTCCTGATGTTTTCGGTTTCTTCCCAGCCTCCCGACGCACCGGAGTTCTATACCAAGAATAATATAATAGACAATTTTCTTCTACCAATCATTTCTTATCAGCATTAAGAAAAAAAACTAAAAAGTAACGCACATATAGTTTGCTTTTGAAAAAAGACAACAAAGTACACATAAAATCCTCATCAAGAATGGTAAAACGATGTCTGAGTAAACCATGCTAAGCATAAGTTCATCCATTTTAAATGTACCTGGAAATAAGCTTGTACAGCAGATTCAATATCCCAACCATTGCTTTGCAACAGTTTTTCGGCTACATCAGGCATAACAGCACATACTTCCTCAAAAATAAAATATTAAGATTAAACCCACGACCACAGGGGAAAAAGCAAAAAAGATACCAATTTCTTGTTCAGAAAATCAAAAAGAAAAGTAATCAGAAAGCAGAAAAAGCAATTTAAATGTACTGTTCTACATTAACAAGAGATAATGACAGAAGAAACACATTATCATACTTCTTCAAACTAACGCGCTTACAATTTTGAAAAATTATCGTTACACTAACAAACATCTGAGAAACTACAAATGAATAGATTTGGAGATAAAAACAGAAAACAAATTTTAAAGCAATTTCTTCTAGAACCTCCCTATCAAATTTCGCAATATTATTGTGAAATAGTTAGCCTCGGTTAAACATCAAGATTTTCTTCAAAATTATCAAGTACTGAACAAAAACATACTTCTAAAAAACTTATGCATCAAGTATGAAAATGCAGCGCAACAAAAACAAAAAAAAAAATATAAGATCTCTAGCTCTTGTCTTATATAACGAAAAAAAAATTTTTTTTTTTCTGGAATATTTAAAAAATACAAGAATAATAAATATATAACATTAAAAACCTACCATAACACTATGTATGAGCTCTTCATGATCGGTAGAGTCTTCAGACATCTAGATCACTTCGGGATCTGAGAAAAAAAATACATATATACATAGACGGATATAAGAAACTAAAACCTTATTGCCGGACAGATAATTTCGCCCAACTAAGCTTGTAGCAAGTATAAATTATCAATAGTGTCTTGCGTCTAATGAGCCAAAAGATAAGTCAAGGTGGCCTTGTGAAATGGCGCTAATAAGAACATCAATAGAAAAAAAGCAATTAGTCCAAAAAAAATATGGATATAAAAGTTCAATGTGTAAATGAATAACATTTGCCAGAATTAATTTTCTGCTTTTTTTCTCCCCTTCAGAGTTGTTCTCACAAAAGTAATTTTAATTACCCAAAAACATTTCTGATTCTGAATTTGCTACACAAACTTTCCAGTGACCCAACGAAATACACATTAAAAAAAAATTTTGCTTTCTTAGTGTATCCTATAATAAATGAACATCTACGTGTATATTTCCAGAGTTTTTGTCACAAG